TAATTAATAAAATCAAAAATAAAATAAAGTAATAATAATAATAAATAATGACTTACGAAAAATCAGGGTCGCTACAATTCTTTTGGGCTAGAACTTTAGAAAACACTGGATCATAGTTATTTCTTGTCACCACCATAGCCTCAACTACTCCTGCAAAGGAAACTCAGTTGCGCTCAAATTAGCTGTATTTTGTTTATGTCGGCTCGAGAAGCCTTTTGATCAAGATGTAACATGTATTTTTACCTTGTTGTATTTAAGTTGTAAAGTTAATTGGAATGTTTGGCATTGCTTTGATCTACGCACAGCTCTTATGGACCACTTGTATTTGATTTAATTGCTTCCGCATTTGTGAGCCCCCCATATATCCATACTCTGATTGTGTTAAGTTTTGAAAAGTTGGCCTTCGGTAATTACGGATTACTGGCCATCACGGCACCAAACTACTAGGGGCGGTTTGGGGTCGTGACAATGCATGTCCTTGTTGTAATAAGGAAACTACATCGTGTTGGTTGAAGCACAGTAGGAAACAATCATACTTGGTTCATCGCAGATTTTTACCTACTGGCCATAAATTTCGAAAGGATAAAGTATCATTTGATGGTAGTCGGGAAGTCAGACTCAAACCAAAATTGTTGTCTGGAACTGAGATGTTACTATAATTAGAATTTGAGGGTATTTTAACCCAATACAAGAGGGATGACCTTAAGGAGAGGCATAGGAGACAGGTAGAGAAAGAGAAAGCTGGACATCGCACCCATAGCTGAAAGAAAAAGAGTATCTTTTATGAATTGTCATATTGGGAGCACAATCTAATAAGACACAACCTCGATGTGATGCATATAGAGAAGAATTTTTGTGACAATGTGTTGTGGACAATATTAGGGGTTGCAGGAAAATCGAAGGATGGTGTTAATGCTCGGCGTGATTTACAAGATATGAATATTAGAAAACCCCTACATTTGCAGTTAAGAGGGTCGAATAAAGCCTATTTACCACCAGCACAATTCACGATGACCAAGGATGAGAAAGATTTGTTCTTGAAAGTGTTGAAGGAAGTAAGAGTTCCCGACGGGTATTCATCCAATATATCACGTCGTGTGCGCTGATAGAAGTATTGGGGGTCTTAAGAGCCACGATAGTCATATTCTGATGCAACAACTTATTCCATTGGCTATTCGCAGATCGTTACCGAAGAATGTAATTGAACCCTTGATTGAATTGAGCAATTTCTTTAGACAATTGTGTTCGAAAGTGAATCGTGCGACGGATTTGCAATATATTAAAGATCGTATCGCTGTAACACTTTGTCATCTAGAGAAAATATTTCCTCCGAGTTTTTTTGATATAATGGAGCACTTGCCTATACATCTAGCTGACAAAGCATTATTGGCTCACAAATTTATGAGTTGCACAAGTGTCCTTGTTTGTGATTACCATTCCATTATTGCTTCTCATAGGTAAAATGAATGACGAGGCTTGTCCTAGTAATTTCGACAGTAACCAATCACTACGAGACGCAATTTGTGAAATTGTTGCTAACATGGTAGAGGAAATTGATTCGATCTTGTTAGCAACATGCAACAACATATTATTACAATAATTTCCACAAAGTACCACGAAATACCTCTATACTAACGAGACGGTTTTGGATTTACGAGTTATTTCAAGGCCATCATAGGTATTGCAAAGATGCGATAGGTATGCCAGTTGCTAAAGGATATCTTATGGAAGAATGCATGAATTTTTGTGCACAATATCTCAATGATGTGGAAACCAAATCTAGTCGACCCGTGAGGAACTATAGTGGTGCTGATAATTTGGGTCATGCTATTGGTGAAAACACAAGCTTTTATCTTGATAATATTTCTTGGGTACAAGCTCATCGGTACATCTTATTTAATACAAACGCGGTTCAACCATTCATAAAGTAGGTTAAGTCACTCACTCAATATTTTATTATGTTTTATTGAATTTTCAACAAAATTTTTTGCATTGCTAAAATTTCAATCTACACAGCAAACACCTTGAAGTACTTAAGCTCAAAATGCCTCGTGTCGACGATCATCAGCTTCGGCGTGAACATTTTGAAACTTTTCACATTTGGTTCAAGGAACATGTATGTATTTAACTCTATAGATTCTAGTTACTTAAGTCGAACTACAATTTAAATTTTACATTTTCATGTTAAATAGGTCCAAACTTTACAATGGACTACTGATGTCATATTTTCTGAAGAGATTATTCTATTGGCAAATGGTCCTCATAACCTGGCAAGGAGGTTCAATAGGTATATACTGAATGGGTTTTGGTATCGAGTAAAAGCCATGGATGATCATCGAGCCACACAAAATTGTGGTGTAGCTTTGAAGGCAGATACCATAAGTTATGCTAGTCGAAAAGATTCATGTGGGGTCTATGTACTATTATGGACAATTGACAAATATTGTTGAGATTCGATATTCCAATGAGAAGAAACATGTGTTGTTTAAGTGTGATTGGATTGACAACATTCACAGAAAGAAAGAAAATGTCTTCAATTTCACGTTGGTGAACTTCAATCATTTGTTGTACCGAGATGATCAAATTACCAATGAACCTTTCATCTTGGCATCCCAAGCAAAGCAAGTTTGGTATGTTGCAGACTCGTTACAACTAGACTGGCAAGTCGTGGTGAAGATGTCTCAAAGAGGTTTATTTGATATGAGTTTGACTGATCCACAAATCGAGCCATACATGAGCCAACAATTGGAAGAAAATATAATGCTTCGTGATGAAGAAGTTGGTTGGGTGAGGGAAGCCGCAGAAGGGGAAACAGTTGATGTTCAAATATGCTGATATTTAATCAATATTAGTACTTCAATTAAGGCCAAGGTTGTAGTTAATCATCAATTTCTTAATTTACTTTGTCTTTGTAATTGTATTAGTTCAATTAATGTCATATTATAGTTGATGACAAACCATTGTCTATGTTTCTAATGTCAATTAATGTTATATTGCTTGCAGATTATTATGGGAAGGAAGAGGAAGCCTGATCATCCCCGGCGCATGATGTCTGATATGCTACACAACAGGACATCAGTAGCACCACCATCAGAGGATACATCAAATCGGCCACCATCGGAGGGGCCATTAGTGCCACCACCATCTGAGGGGCCATTTGTACCACCGCATCAACCACCATCAGTGGCACCACAGCAGCTACCATGTACTCAGCCTCCACACCTACCATCGGTGCGTCCACCATTAATGGCACCACAGCAGCTATCATCCCGACTAGAGTCATCAGCTTATGAGCCATCCGCAGGTATATAAATTTGCTTTGATTTGTATGAAAATTATTTAAACATACATTCGCTCATTATATATAACTTGTTTATTCTCATTGTATTTTGCAGACCCTTCGACTTCTTCACAGCTCACCTCAGGTATAAGAATTCGATTTGTATTCAGATTATTTAAATTTGCATTTATTTATTTCCATTGCATATTGTTTATTGTTATTGTATCTCGCAGGTCATGTTAGTTCTTCATCAACCTTGACTAGGCGTGGTAGAGGATGTGCCAAGGGCATTAAAGAGTGGGATACTGGTAAAAAGCTGGACATACAATTTGATAAAAATTACTGTCCAATAGGGGATAACGTGGCTAAGTTAACTACTTAACTTGGCATTATTGTGCGGAATGGTAACATTGTTCCTCTTACTTTTCTTGACTGGAACAATGTGCCTGATGATATTGTTGATGCTATCTGGAAGGATGTGAAGGTAAAAGTATATTTTTGTCCACAAATTCGAATTCCGAAATTGTGTTATTATTATTTAAACTTTGAAATTGTGTTTTATAGGAAAATTTGAATATATGTCCAGAGGAGTACAAGCCAATCTGCATGAAAAATTGCAACAGCATATGGAAGGATCACAAGAACAAGATTAAGGTTAAGTATTTCAAGCCTAGAAGTTATGATCCTAATCTGAAGGATGATGTTCCTTTGCACATTGTGCTAAGCCAGTAGGAAGAACTTGTGGAGTATTGGCGTACTTCCGATGCTGAGGTATACAAATAAGTTATATTTATGATATGTAAACATACAAATCATATTTACATACTTACATTTGTTGAACCTGTTATAGAAAATTGCAAGTAGGAACGCTAAAAATCGGTGAGTTCACGGCATAGCTCATACCACAGGGCGTACTACTTTCTCTAAGATACGGCATGAGGTTTATATTTTATTGTTTTATTTTTGTATATAAATAAACATTGTATATTTGCAAATTATTTGGATTCTAATTTTCATATTTCTAAAAAAAAATTTAGATGACCAGTAAGGGGGAGTCTACAGATAAGATGAATGTTTGGCTTATGACACGTAGAGTAGATGACCCAGAGGTTATTCAGACCTTGGTAGTTTCCAAACACCTTTGATTGTATTTAAAGTTTATTTTTTGTGTGTCAACCATCTTAATTTCGCGTATACTTGTGTGTCTTATTCAATACAGGATGAGTTTAATCGTCAACTCTCTATGCTACCTGAGGATGGTCGGACTTTGGAGGCTAGGAATGCCATTTTCCATGAGTTGATAGGTCATGACGGACATGGATATTGTCACACATACGGGAAAATTGTGCCTCGGAGAGCGGTGTATAGAGATGGTGCTGGGCCATCACAGTCAACACCCCTGCCATCGACTATTGATCAAATCACGCAGCAGGTTCGTGCAGAGCTAAGGGATGAGTTGAGGGAGGAGCTGCGAGCAGAGTTCTCTGAACATTTACAGTAGATGAGAGCTGAGATGATGGCCTTGGTGTCACAGGGGGCGAGTGTGGATCCCAACAGACAGGTTCGATATAAATTAAATTGTTTGATAGTTCAATTTCCACACAAGATTATGTATAAAATTTGAATATGATTAACATATTATGCATTGACTATCATAGGTTCCTGATGCATCGAGTGGCCACTGGGCATTTAGGGAATCTGCAGAAGACGAGAATCCATATACACCACCACCAGAAGATCAGGTATCAAATGTATCTTTGCATTCTAAGCTAAAATGTATCTTTGCATTCTTTACATTCTAAGTTAAGAGACTTGTGGGAGAAGACGGGACTCAAATCGGGTTCCCGGATTGGGAGTTAGACCCGGATTTAGCACGAAACTTGACACACACGACCGCCTAGGCACGAGAGACTTGTAAGAGAAGACAGGGCTCGAATCGGGTTCCCGGTTTCGGAGTTAGAACCGGATTTCACTTTAGACAAACTAGTTCCTTAAGAAACTTAAATTCGAGGTGTTAACGCCCCAAAATCACCAAACGGCGTCGATTTAGCACAAAACTTGGCACACACAACCGCCTAGGCACGAGAGACTTGTGGGAGAAGACGGGGCTCGAATTGGGTTCCCGGTTTGGGAGTTAGAGTCGGATTTCGGTCTAGTCAAACTAATTCCTTAAGAAACTCGAATTCGAGGTGTTAACGCCCCAAAATCACCAAACGGCGTCGGTTTAGCACGAAACTTGGCACACACGACCGCCTAGGCACGAGAGACTTGTGGGAGAAGACGGGGCTCAAATCGGGTTCCCGGTTAGGGAGTTAGAGCCGGATTTTACTTTAGACAAACTAGTTCCTTAAAAAACTTGAATTCGAGGTGTTAACGCCCCAAAATCACCAAACGGCGTCGGTTTAGCACAAAACTTGGCACACACGACCGCCTAGGCATAAGAGACTTGTGGGAGAAAATCGGGCTCGAATCGGGTTCCCGGTTTGGGAGTTAGAGCCAGATTTCACTTTAGGCAAACTAGTTCCTTAAGAAACTTGAATTCGAGGTGTTAACGCCCCAAAGTCACCAAACGGCGTCGATTTTAGCACGAAACTTAGCACATATGACCGCCTAGGTACGAGAGACTTATGGGAGAAGACGGGGCTCGAATCAGGTTCCCGGTTTTGGAGTTAGAGCCAGATTTCACTTTAGGCAAACTAGTTCCTTAAGAAACTTGAATTCGAGGTGTTAACGCCCCAAAATCACCAAACGGCGTCGGTTTAGCACAAAACTTGGCACACACGACCACCTAGGCACGATAGACTTGTGGGAGAAAACGGGGCTCGAATCGGGTTCCCAGTTTGGGAGTTAGAGTCGGATTTCGGTCTAGTCAAAATTATTTACTAAACTATCTTTCTAATTATATAGTATTTAATTTTTTTATATTTTTCTGTAATTAAAATATTAACACCATTATATTGTAATTAATTATTTTTATTTTGTTTTTTTCAGATATTTCCTGAGTAGCAGTTTGCTTCTTGTGGAATGCGGGCGTGTGAAAATTATAAGTTTTTGTAACCCACGAAAGAATCAAGACAAAAACTTTTGGTTTTGATTTTGATTTTGATTTATGTTATTTAAATTTGTGAACAACATTATGTATGTATTATGCGACATTATGTAGTGGCATAATTTTTATTGTTATGGATTTTTATTTATGTATTGTTATGAATAAAGCAACATTATGAATTTTAATCATGTGCCAACTTTTGTTTATGTATGTATCTTTATTATTATGTAATTTTTGGATTTTTTTTTAGTTTTTTTTCATTTAATACAGGTTATTTTTTATATTTTTAATAATTTCAATACAGGGTTTTTTTTTTAAATTTTTTTTTGAGACGGCAAAACACCCCGTCGCAAAAAAAAAATTGTACTAGGCTTTTTGCGACGGCACATATATTGTCGCAAAAGGGAGGGAATTCAATTGAAAAATAACCTTTAGTGACGGTAAAATTGCCGTCGACAATAGTCATTAGCGATGGCTCAAGTTGCCGTCGACAATAGTCAGTAGCGACGACACTTTTAGCGACGGGATTTTTGCCGTCTCAAAAAACTATTTTAGCGACGGCAATACTGTGCCGTCGCAAAAAAAACCTATTATTGGCGACACAAATTTGCCGTCGCAAAAAAAAAAAATTCCCGTCGCAAAAACAAAGGCAACGGCACTTGTCGTCGCTAAAGGCCTTTTGCAACCCCATTTGTTGCGACCCCCACTTGCCGTCACAAAAAAATATTTCACCGTCGCAAAAGCCTTTTGAGACGGCATTTGGGGTATTTGCGACGGCGTTTTGCCGTCGCAAAAAGTAATTTTTTTTGTAGTGCTTCTTCCTATCATCATGATTACATTCTACAACTTTTCATTATTAAAAAATCCATTAAATACAACAAAATAAGATTATGTATTCAAATTTTGTAGTTTTATATTTGGTCAATTTTAAAAAAAAAGTCACAAAATATTATATTTTTTAAGTATATCTAGATTAGGTGTGTCTAAAAAATAAAATAAAAAATTGCTTAAAATATTTAAAAATTTCAATAAAAAAAACAAGAAAAAAAATCTAATTTTTTGTGTGAGTTAAACTAAAAAAGATGATTGTTATTTCCCTTGAAATAATATGAACAAAATATCTGTATTATTTTATTATTTTATATGTATAAAAGCTAAGGGGCAAATATGTCATTATAATCTGATATGGGGGTAAGTGTAATTTTTAAATGTGAAGGAGATCTATATTAAACAAAAACCTATATTAAACAAAAACCTCAATGGGTGTTAGTGTAATTTATCCTAATTTTTTGTGTTGGTATATAATTATTAAAGCTATCATTTGCTATATTTCTTCAAATACAATTCAACTAATTTTTCATCATTTTTTTTTTGTAAATAAAATGGATTAAAACTATTTTCTTATATAATTTTTACAATCTTACGGAGTTCTTATCTTGATTAATTTTTTTTTAAATGTTGTAGGAACTATGCAAGTATTATTCAAACTATGGAGAAGGATTTATACTTTGATAAGATATGCATGTATCATTGATAGAGGAGATCAAAGATAGAGAGTTGCTAATAGAATTAATTAATGATTTATTTGAGAAGTTCTTTTTATGAGTAAGGTAACAAACTTAAATTAAAAAATTTTAAAAATTACTTATAAATTATAATTGAAAGTTGAGATTTACTCATAATTTGGTCCCACAATAATAATATACACCACTAATTTAAAAGTCTAAGTAAATTTATAATAACTTTTTCTGAGTTTATAGAATTTCTCTCTTTTAATGTTTTCCCTTTTTTTTTCTTTTTTTTTCTGCATGACACTATAGTTTGATATAAGTTATTTATATTATCAAGTGATCGTGATACTATTATTCCCAACAATCTTTATAATTAACAATTTTTTATTATGCATATCAAATTTTATTGTGAAATTTTATAGGTTAATTATTGTTAATGTCCACCCAGATGGCCTAACATCATGGCTTGCCACTATTAATACATAATTCAAGATTAAGATGATTTATTTATCACACAAAATGTATATAGTCTATTTTTCCATGCATTGCATGAGATACCGCTAGTTAAGTGGGAAGGAATGTGTCCACATGATAAAATCATTGCCTATACAATGTGATATAAAATATATAAGTTTATGTTTAGTTCAAAAAAATAAATTCTAGGTTAATAATTTATTGTGATATGGCATTGATGATATAGGATATTATTGAATTTTAAAAATGGAGTAGAGATACAAAATGCCACATTAGGAAACGGTTCGGAATCCCATCTAAAAAAAAAGAGAAAAGGTTGAATTATAAAATTGATAGATTTTATTAATCTTTACTTATAATCTTGAATAAATCCAATCTAATGTGTCCAAATAAACAAATATTTTAGAAGTTTGGGCTTTGGGATGCTACTTCGTTGGACCAATAACCACCATTTCTTGGCTATTTGGTTGCAAGGGATCTAGGCACACTTCATACAAGTTTTATAAATTATTTTGTATATGTATAAAAAGTTTTAAAAAAACAAAAGACAATAGAATGCACATGAGACTCTCGTTACAAAGTTATTACAAGATTTGGAAAAGATCACATAGCCTTATTTCTATATGAAAAAAGATTATTTTCCTATTATGAACTTATGACACTTGTGTGTATCAAATACCGCATTAGATGAAAGTGGATCGGAACTCCGCAACTGGTATGATCGGTTCAAGAACTGGGGACCTGCAACACAACTCTCTAGGTGTAGAGAGACAAAAGGAAAGAATGTATTCAATGAGTAAAGAGTGAATGAAACCAAATTTTATATACCTTCAATGTGAAGAGAGTGTTGTTTATATAAGAGACCTTGCTTGTTGCCCAAGATGGTTTCATCGAGCTTCGGTGCTCCTAGGCTCCTCTTAGCATTACTTTAGGTAGGTGACCATCAGACAGTTGATGATTGATCCCTGTGCTCATGCATATAACAGATCGCATCCCCCAAGTTAACTGCTTCTGTGATTCTAGGGGGAGGGGACCAACTAAGAAAGCAGTTAGCCCATGCATGTATTCATGGCTTCCACATTTTTTTGAGAGGCTCCCTCAACTCGATACCATTGTGTCTCAGCTTGGCTTTTCATAAGTCTGTTTGTGGAGATGGGCTGGCCGATTTGAATATCTTTGTGAGGGCTTGGCCCAGTTTGGTTCTGATGTTGGGTTCGACCCATCAGTTCGGTCCATGGATTAGATCTAGTAGGTCAGCCCGGTCCAGCCCAGCATCACGGCTGGACTGGCCTTTCCACTGCAAGTTGGGCCCAAGTGCTT